AATGAGAAGTCACAATTTAACAAACATAAAGGTCAACCAAGTGTATATTTACCAACAACAACAAATAAAAATGCATTTAAAAAAAATAATTGAAAACCATTCCAATTAAGGCTACTGAATAATCCTACTTTCTCTTCTTTGAACATTCAAATTTTAATCTCTATATTTAACTACATAATTAATAATCTGTTAAGCATCAAAACAGGGTCAAGCTAAAATAAGGCAGCAGGTTAAATAATAATGTATATAGTCACAGGAATGGAAATATATAAATTTATCTCATAAGACATGAACATTTTAAAATAATTGCGCATTATCTAAATAAAATTAGGTATTACAGAGGCTCCTTGCTAAAAACAAAAACTAATGACCAAAAACGGGCAAGTAGAAATATTACAGGCAGAAAACATAGTTAAAACGAACAAAAGAGATGAAATCTATAAATATATAGAAATAATGAGCAAATAAAGATATTTTGATGTCAAGAAATAGGACCTACTTCATTACAAGCAAGTGACAAATATGGAGTATAGTAAGAGGAAATCTAAGTACTTGAATACTTGAAATATTTGAAGAAATTAAAATATATCCAAAGATAAACTCAAAGAAAATGTTCTTGAAATAAATCAACTCACAAATCTATTGATTCACTAAAACTTGTATTAAGAATATTAGATGATCAGCAACACAGTGCAATTCAGCAAAGGTATTTCAAAGTGTGGACTACATGAGTATTCATAGAGGTGAAAGGAATTTCAGTCAAGAGGGAAAGGATCTGGAAGCTTCATACTTCGTTCACTACAGAATCATTCAATACCCAGACAAGAGACTTTCTACCAAGTTCTTTTTTACCATGTGGTAAACAAATAATGATTCAGAAACATCATACCTAGCCTCCCTTAGAAACATAATGAACTTACATGATGAAGCAACAGGTGAAAGACAGTCTATATGAGAAATAAGCCATATTTGCCTTAAATGTTAAAATTTACCATTAAATTGAGATATACTATGGAAACTCTGTTGGAATGTACAAAATATACTGGATATTTATCATGTAATCAGAAGCTACGAAGCAATAAAATGCCAATTTTTAGTAATAATTGATACTCTTCATAGAGTACCTAATCAGTGCCAGGTGCAGAAAATACCAAGTGTATGCAGGAGGGAGATGAACACTCAAGTCGTGAAGTAACATTTTGTACAAAGGAGGGATGAAATCTCTATGTCTCATCCCCAAATGCACTCAAAATATCTTTTGTTGATAACATGATAAGAAAAGCATGTTTCCTGAAGTAAAAAATAACTGAACCATTTCCAGCATTAAATTAAGTTATTCACAGCACATTATAATTTCCAAATGGCAAGTTGCATGAGGAAAAGAATGTGTTGAAAATATCCATCACTTTCTTTATTCTTTAAATAATGTCTTAGAATTTACCTCTAGAAGTTTTGCTACTTACTGCCTTCCTAGAATGAAGTATTTTGTATTTGGCTATAATAAACTCCAGCTCAACTCATAAAATAGAACTTTCTAAGATGCTGATATGTTTATGAAATGCTAAAGCACTGGGGAAATTTTACATGCAATACAGATGTCTGTTTGTAGAATGGCCACTTCTTTAAAACAATAATTTTAAGAAAGGCAACTTTTGCTAATAACATATGTTTCTCTATAATTATAAATTCTTTGGTGGTTAAATATCAATTCTTATCAAAAGAAAACATACTATTTTGGTGCTAGTACTGGGGCTTGTAATTAAGGCCTAGTACTGTCCGTTAGCTCATTTGCTCAAGGCTGGTGGTATTTTACTCTTTGAGTTGCAACTCCACTTCTTGTCTTTTATGGTTAATTGGATGTAAGATCTCACAGACTTTCCTTTCTAGGTTAGCTTTGAACTATGACCTAACTGCAGCTTCCTGAGTAGGTAGGATTACAACATTAGCTACCAGGTTCTATCAAGAAAACATATTTTTGTGTACTGAATTGGGAAATACTTAAAAGTTTCCATAAAATTGTGTGCTGACAGATTGTTTTTGATATTTTAAACAAGTTTCACTGATACACTGAACTTTCATTTTTCATACTTGAGGCTATCAGCAGCTAGCATATGGCACGCATAAGATACAAAACCAAGCAGGGCTCATCTTCACAAGCAAGGCAGCTGGGAAATTTGACAGTTCTTTTCCAAATTACTCATCATGTTTTAGTTGCTGCTAGGAAAAAATGTGTTGCCCATCTCCAAAATAGATGTTCTTTTTTTATTTTTAAGCATGGGAAGGGCTTCCAATAAAAAAAAGTAAGACAGATGGGTATAGGAAGCGAAAGATTTTTCTTATTTAGGCCCTTTTCTTAGTGTCACTCTCATTGGAAGTGTTTTTCAAATAAACAAACAAATATTTCAGCATTGATCTCTGTGCCCTAGCATACTCCTTTGCTTCTTATACAACAGATTCTTCTGGGACAGTGGAAAGTCAAAGCCACAGGAAGACTTGGTGTGTTGCTAATTACCAAGTGGGCGTTGATGGGCTGGGAGAAGCTGATCTAAAGTGATTCTTTCTTGAATTCTGAATCTTTAAGTATAGAATCTGCATTGATTCCTACTTTTACTTTAAAAGCTTAGACATAAATACAACCCTCCAAATTTCCTATAGACTTTATATAATTGATGGTTTATATTGGAATGAAAAGCTAGCTTTTCTCTCCTCTCTGGGAGTCTATTCTGCAGAATGTTCTTTGTGTTATCTCAAAGGGCATCGGTGTTCAAAAACTTATATTCAACTCCATTAACACATCTGAATAAATATTCAGCGGAATATTTAATTTATTAATATATTTAAGTTTGCCATTTGACCCTACAACAAAAGTTCCAATGACCATATCTGCTGGCTTTAAATTTACTTAAGGAGTTGATGCAATGAAAAATGAGCCTAATTTCTTCATCATTCTTCTGTTCTCTGGTAAACCAATAAAATTTTATCTAACATTCAGTTTTCAAAATTAATAGTAGTTGTCACACTTAAAGTGTAGATCTTTAGATTCCTGAACATTGTCAGAAGTCATTCAAGAAAGATCTATGAAATGACAGACTTTCTAAGAATAAGGTATAATGTGTCAAGAAGCTGTGCTTAATTTCCACCCCAATGGGAATTTAAAAAACCATTTCAAGCAAGAATAAAAACTTCAAATAACTTCTTGAAATGCCTTATCCGTGACATCTCAATTTGCTGCATCTCACATTGTTTGACTCAGTGTACTTTGTTCTTCGTAAAACGTTCTAACTATATAGAATGTTAATGAACATTGCTTTATGTTCTGAGAACATGTGAAATAGTGTTAGTCAAGTGGTCATCGTGTGTGAGAGTAGAGTTTTTACGAATAAATGTGATTTTTAGCCAGATGCCTCAGGATCACTTCTGTAATCCTACTTACTCAGGAGGTTAATCCTGGAGGATATCAGTTCAAAGCTAGCTAGGCAGATATGCCTATAAGATTCCACTTTCAATTAATCAAAAAAAAAAAAAAAGTCCAGGTTGATGTATAATTCCAGTGGTTAAGGACAGCAATAAGCAAAGCCAAAAGAGACAGTAGGGACTTGAATTCAAGTCCCAGTATCAACATGAAAAAAAAGTCCTCAAAATTTAAATAATACCAATTGTGATATAAAATGTTTCATTTAATAATTGTGTCTCAAGAAAAAATAGTGTATGGTTCAGTTAATTTTATACGATATATGCATTTAAAACTATTAAAATGCAAAATGGTATGGCTGAGAAACTAGAAATAACTCAGGCAGTCTTGGGATGTATGACACCTCACAGTTTGGTCCATCTTAACTGAATGTATCCCTGCAACAGCTTTAATAAGTCAGTACATTTCTCTCTATTTTACAGAAGGTAACTGAAAATTAAAATACTGATATTTTAATCAGGAGTGGCTGGAAATAAAATACTAATGAAGTGGTAGACTGATCAGAAATTGCATATCAGAAATTAAGAAATGGAAGCCAAAATTTTATTTCTATATTTACTGTCCAGGTAAGAACATAATTCACTAGAACAAAGACTGTGAATATCACAACTAAATAGGGAAATGTTATATGGGATCAATTCATATCATATGTCAAAATGTTAAGCTTTATATTAAGAAAGGTTTTGCAGCTAAATGGGTGAGTTACAAATCCTAAAAACTAATCATTTTTTACATGATTTGTTAATATTTTAAAGGAGAACCACCCTGAATTCTTTTAGCTATTTATGCATCCATCTATTCATTTATTAGTAGGTTAAATTATACAGAATATAGGAAGAAATTTGAAAACATTTTATCATACAAGTATATATATATAAACAATTACCAATAAATTTCTGTAAATGCAAGCTATGACTCCAGTTTTGTGAATTCAAATGAAAATATGGCATTATAATCATAAACATTAACTTTTCCTGCCAAAGAACACAGTTTCCTCCTTTTCTTGCTATGGGTAAGAACCTACTTACAGTAGCCTAAGGCAATCTACTAAATTTTGTTTAAATAGGTATGCAGATAGCAAGTATTCCGAAGACTAAAAAATACTCCTAAAGGGTTGGGAGTTTGAGAAAATACAAGAAATGAACTAAGTAAATCAATAGCACCTTAAAATGTTAGTTCATAATGTTTAATCTTCACAAATATTACCAGTAACTTATTTTTAACATGTATAGGAAAAAGGCAAGTATTATATTTTTCTCCTTAAGAGAATGTGGTCAGTTTATAACATTAATCATTCATATATTCTTTACATGAACATTGGTACCTACTGATTGTTATGTAACATAAGTCATTACAAAAATGGTTTAACAAAATGAAAAAGTCAGAAGCTACCTCTACAGCAGACAGTCCCTCAAGTAATATGTTAACATGGGTGAATAAGTACATTTCATCTGCCAGATGCTGCTATGCATGAATTATGAAGCATTGTACAAAGTCATGCTGAATGGATAGAAGGATGGCTACTTACCAACAGGGCGAGCTGTAGACATTACAATGGTGTGGTGACAACATAAAAAAGAAATTAAAAAAAAGAAGAAAGAAAAGAAAATTATCAGAATGCATGATGTGTAATGCTACATATAAATATGGACAATAGAGTGATCTCTAGTCTCATAAATCATGTATGACCAGGATGTTCTAAATTTGATTAAACCGAAAGCTATAAATATAATTCTGAGAAAATAAATATTTTAACTTTTAGTGCTATTAGCATGTTAAGAGATATTTTGAGTAAAGTCTTACCATCACCTCTTATGGTAGTTATTATTACAAAGACCTTGAGTTGAACAGGCTTGTGCTACCTCAGAGTTTAAAACCTGCTGAAGGTAACTATTCAAGTCACAGACTAGCAAATGTCATGTCAATAAAAGGCCTCACTGTCTGATTTAAATAGCAATTGGATTTTAAGCATGGTTAGTCAGAACTATTACAAGGACTACAGGAAAGTGCCTGATTCTGCTTTTCAGTCAGTAATAAGTTAAGATCACATCACTTTTCAACCATGGATACGATGGATGAAAATATAACAAATAGGCTGGAACATCCTTCAAGATTTCAACTCAGTATCTCCCTAACTACTGTTAAGCTTTATACTTCTTTTGGCAGAGGCCATGAAACAATGACTGGCAGGTTGATTCTTGTCCACACTGAGATGTGCTTTCAAATGTCTGCTCCAACAAATTACTTTTTTAAAAATTATACCATAACTTTCAGCCACTAAATCCCTAGTACTAGGCTGCCCTGTTAATGCACAGAAATAGTAGCAGATACACATGGCTTAAAATACTTTCTTTAAAACATATTTCTTAATGAGTTTAGATAATAAACCACATCACATAGAAGCAATAGAAAATATTGTAAGGGCATGCATTTTATCCAAATAAAAAATCAGATTTATTAGTATTTGAACTTTTATGAAATCTGACATTAAAAATATAAACTTTTTCAACAAACAGGATTATTATCATATCCTAATAGAATAGCCTAATAATGTATCTCCGTAGAAGATGGTATGAATATATTTTTGATTAAAGCTTTTTGAGGATGGTGATGTAGATGGAGCATTGAAGACATGTTTATATGTGATCCTTCATTCAACATATTCATTGTAAGCCAAGCATTGTGTAATCTCTGAAAATAACAGTAGAATTGTCTCTCTATAAGAGTCATAGTCCTTTCCAACAGTATTAGACACAACTAAAGTAGTCCTGTTTCAAATGTTGCTTGTTTAACAAGTTTCTCCCAAGTGGAGCTGGGTTGTAGCTCAATGGTAGAGTGTCCAGCTCACAAATGTAAGCCCCTGAGATCAAGGCCCAACTACCATAACAACAACAACAACAAAAACAACAACAACAAAAGAACAAATTAGTCTCAAATGAGACTAATCTGAGCATCACGATAGATTTTAGTAGAAACTTCACATAAAACTTCCTGTCCTTGTTATATAGTAAAACATTATTCTGAGAAAGCCAGCAGGTGGATGTTTTCAAAATCAGCAAATTAAACTGTATGTCCCTGCATTAAATGAATGAAAACTGACATGGCCTTTTGGGTCTACTAACCTTTCTTCCAATAAAACAAACTAAATGAGTCTTATACAATACATTTATGTGCATAAGAAAATGAGCACAGAAAAAAGTCATATTTTTCCCTATTAATCTCAGTATGAGAAGTCCCAGCTGCTTTTCTTAATGGTTTAAAAAATATTTAAATAATACTCATCCCTACATCACATTGTCTTATAGAAACTTTAAAAAAAAAAAACAACAAACCTTGAATAGTAGATTACAATAAGAATCAAAATCACCAACCTATACACTATAGGGAACAAGAATTGGAATCCAGCAATAAAGTATGGGTAAAACCATTTAAGGTTTTCTTATTTTTTTGAAAATTGTTCTATACTAAAAATAAACAATGTTTTTGATTCGTTTTGTAAGTTAGATTCAAACATCCATGCTTGGGGAGCATGCTTTGTTCAATGAAATGTTAAACATGAAACTTTCAACAAATGATGAAAACAATTAGCTGGGAAAGATCTTAAAGCAAACAGACTACTTCAAACCTCATTCATCCAACCATTCAAGTATAAAAAGAACCCTGCTGCTTTTACAAGCAAACAACTCCTCACATTTTCTCACCATGTGTTTAGTCAGCAAATATTTTTCTCTTTTAAAATGGGACATTTCTTGGTTGTTTGTTTTTCCATTCACTTGAGAAACACAGACACATACAAACTGTGGAGTCGATTTGGTAAAAGGACTCATTTTTTGCAAATGACTACTTAGTTAAAAGCAAGCATTTATAAAAACACAAAGCATGTAGGTTAGAGTAAAAAGACTTCATCTTGTCATAGGAGTTACTAGATTTTTTAATCAGATAATTTATATGTATTTAGTTCATATATTATCAGGGCTGTTTTGACTTAATAGGTTTTTAAGCAAGTAGTTTGTCAATTTTGCCTGAATTGTGTGTGTGTGTGTGTGTGTGTGTGTGTGTGTGTGTGTGTGTCTGTGTGTGTGTGTGTACTGGTACTGGGACTTGAACTGGGGACCTCATGCTCCTGTTTGGCTTTTTCACTCATGGCTGGCACTCCACTTATTTGAGCCAAATCTCTACTTCCAGCTATTCCTTGGTTAATTCAGCGTAAGTATCTCATGGACTTTTCTGGCTAACTTGGATCCTCAGCTCTTAGACTCCTGAGTAGGTAGGATTATAGTCATGTACCACTGGCATCCTGCTTAAATTTGTTTTGGCCTATGTTGCTATTAAAACATACTGAAACACACGCATGCACACATGCACACAAATGTGTGCATACACAGGTGGGATAGGAATGGAACACACCCAGAAGTTAGAAAGTGCCAATATTTTTGTGGTACAGAGAAAGCCTTTCTTCTATCATTATATGGAGGCATATGAAACCTAAACTGTAGATCTGGTGAAAATCATTCTCTGTGAAGAAAACACTCAAGAACTTCTTATATATGGGTAAAAGTTCTGATTAGGAAGAGATGTAACTCAGAGGTGATGAACACTTGTACCTAACCTTCTGATCCTGAAGGATGAGAGGAGGAGACAGTCTTGGTGGAAGAAAGACTAAGGACTGAACAGATGAGCAGCATGTCTCTGTTTAAAGTCAGGTGAGTGTAAACAATACCATGGCAACATCTGCTTTAAAGACTAAGTGCTTGCTCACTGTCTACATGATACTGTTTGGAACTGTGGACCATATAACCCAGTTCCTCAACATGTTGCAGTAGGAAGTTAATTCATTCTGTTGCAAGGTGCTAGGGCTTAGTAATGCTTTCTTTCACATGTAAGCAATTTCAGTGAGTCTACAAAATGAACATTATTCCATGATGAAGGAAGTACATTACACCTAGAAAGTGAAAGTTATTACAAGAGTACCACTGTTATTTCATTTATTTAGGATCAGTAAACTTCATATATCACTCTGTAAATCAGATGATCAGGATTCTAAAGCTCCTGTGTTTTACACCTATGAAAGCATGTTTAAGGTTTTAGGGATTTTTTTTTTCTTTAAAACCGCATTGCTTTTATGAATGCTTAAATAAAAATGACATTTGAAAGGTAACAAACAAAGAACAGAGAACACTAGACCATCTTTGAAATGGATGACATTTGAAAATCAGTAAATAGTTGAACATAGTAAAAATGTCAAACATTAAGGTATACAATTTCTGTTATTAAAATTTACTCTTAGCTAATATGGAGGCCCATGCTTATAATCCTAGCTACACAGGAGGGAACAATCAGAGGATCATGATTTGAAGACAGGCCAGACCAAAAGTTTCAAGAGCCCATCTTAATCACGAACTGCACATAGTGGTATGTGTGGAAATATAAACAGTAGGACACTGGTTCAGGCCAGCTGGGTAATAAACATGAGATCTTATGCCCAAAACAACTAAAGCAAAAAGGGGTCAGAGCATTGGTCAAGGAGAGTATATGCCTAGCAAGCACAAAGTTGTGAGTTCAACTTAACCATATAAGCTATTGTTTACTAAGCAAGACATAATCTTTTGAAAGGGTCATTATCTGGAAGTTTGGAAATCATTTTAGTATAGCAAGTAATATGGAGAGCACAAAAATCAAGGTATTTAATATAATAACAAAATGATACAATCTATTTCTGACCTTCCTTCCTTCTTTCCTAGAAATGCAACAGAGGCTGACCTCAAATTCATGATCATTCTCCTCCAGCCTCCTGAGTGCTGGGATTACAGGTGTACACAAACATATCTGGCTCCAGTTATTGTCATTGTAATCCCACTTACCAAATTAAAATGGATTAGTGTCCTGGTTTAATTGTATTTGGACATGTTAAATCTCTTACCTCGGACTGTGAGGGTAGCAGAGGCTTCCACTTTTCCTACCCGATTCTCAGCAATGCACATATAGGTTCCTTCATCTGTACTCAGGGCCTTCTTAATTCTCAGAGTGTAGTCATCTTTGATGTCATACCTGTGTACAAATGAGCTGCCTTTAGAAAACAGCATTGGTCCTACAGGTAACAATTCATTTATAGATAGGTATTCATCTTCATTTTTCTTTTATCATATAAATTTTCCACAGCATAATATGCATAGAACTTTTAGTCACAAAATTACAATTGCAGTTATTGCTATTAAGATTAATTTCATACCTGATCTGTACCTGCTTATACAATTTATATGTGAATACAATATATATACTATATATATATATATATATATATATATACAATATATATATTTCTGAAAACTATTGGAGACATAAATATAAGAAAAATAAGACACACTACAGTTTTTTAGGCTGAATTATCCTTCATTTGTTTATATCTTACTAGTTTAATGATGCTTTGTTTTGTTCTTGTTTCTATGGGACTAGGAATTAACCATGGCCTCACACACTATAGAGAAGCAGTCTACTTCTTTTGAGTCATACCACAAACACAGATGGTTTGCATTTTAGGCATCTTGACCCAAAAAAAGAAAATATATTAAGAGAAAACTTTTGTCTTGATTGCAGGCATATTGACTAAATGTGTATAAATTAAAAGAATGAAAGAAGCTCAAGTATTTTCAATTAATTGCTGAAAGATCAAGATTCAAAATGAGTTTTTAGAAATGAACATTTTCAGCTCCTTCATGAGCATTATTGATTGTTTACATCTGTAGAATAAAAGATTGTTTCAACAAAGGACTTTTATCTTAATTTTTCTTTTTTGATGAGTCTGTATTCTTCACCTTATCTATGGTGCATTCACATGCACCTCGGGAGTGGGGGCACAGAAAAATAGAGAAGAAGTCCAGCAGTGGAGCATACCGGCTACACTGGACATTGATGAAATTAACTATGCACCTTGTGGGTAGGGAGGGAAGAGGAAGAGAATGGGAGAAAAATGTACTTACTACCTCAGGCATGTAAAGTTAACTCCACTGTATATCACTTCTAAAACGAAAATAAATTAAAATGAAGGTTGTTTAAAAAATTCTGAAATAGTAAAATGAAATTTAATACATCCTTGCATAAGAACATACTCTTGTTAGAGACTATGAAGTTCTATTTGCACAAACATAGCTGTGGAGTTGTTAGTTTTGCTTCCTCTTAAATGATCTTTCCTCTTGATTTTAATGATGATGTTGATGATCATGATGATCATCATCATCATCTGTTTTTCATTTCAACCTCACATTTTTGAAATAGCTATCGGTGGATCCCTTCTCTTTCTCATACATTGCACTGTTCCATGTTTCAATGTGCTATTTTAATTGATGTGGTCTGCTGGAGACTACCTGAGGCGTTCTGTTGGTTTTAGGACAAATATTTTGAATTGCACTTAAACATAATTCCATGTACTCTACTTCTAGATTTAGCTGAAAGAATAACACAGCTTAACAGCTTTACTATAAGAACTAATAATAGATCTACCTTTCACATCCTGTCATAACAAAAAGCAATATTGCTGGGGATCAGGCTTGTAATCCTAGCTACTCAGGAGTCAGACATCTGAGGATGGTGGTTCAAAGTCAGCCTGGGTAGAAATGTCTGTGAGATTCTTATCTCAAATTATCCACCAAAACTCCAGAAACAGAGCTGTGACAGAGCACCTGACCTTGAGTGAAAAAACTAAAAAAGTTAACAAAATGACAGGTAATGAAAACTATGATGACTACGTCCTTGTAACTCATTGATATATGCATGATTGCCTGCTCAACTTGTTGGCTCTTCATTTTAATAAGGCAGAGATCTTGTCTACTCCCTCAGTTCTAATATCCATACTCTCAAACACAGAGCTTTTAAGACCTAGTTGCAGTGAATGGCCAATTTTTAATCACAGTCTCTTTTTATGCTTATAATGGTGAACGAGGTACTTAAAGTCTCTTGGTCTCCATTTCATTATTAATAAAATGGTGCTAGGAACATCTCTCTCAACAGACATATGGGGTTTGAATAAATTGTTAGATACATTGTACTTAAGACTGGAACAAAGAGAGTACATCTCATTTTGCCTATTTATTGCATTTACTAGTAACTCAAATAGTATTAGTTGAACATGTACTGTCTTCCTTGTTTCCTGCTTCTATGAAGGCCAATTTAATGTAGTGGTTTTAAGGTTTCTGATTGTCTTTCTTTTTTAAAATTTATTTATTTTTTATTAATAAGTTTTTTTATTGTGAAAATACCATACAGAAGGGTTACAATTACATGAGCAAGGAAATGAGTACATTCTTATCAAGCATTGTCTTATGGACTATATTTACAAGTAGGAAAATTACTAAGTTAAGATTCATAAGAGGGTAATACACAGAGAAACATTTTCTGATCGATTTTGTTAATAAAAAGTGGAAAACTGTGATTTTTGTGTGCCTTAAAAATTTTGCTGAGGGCTGGGAAGTTAGCTCAGTGGTAGAGTGCTTGTCTTGCATGCATAAGGTCCTGGGTTCAATTCCTCAGCACCACATAAGCAAATAGAAAAAAGCTGGAAGTGGCGCTGTGGCTCAAGTGGTAGAGCGTTAGCCTTGAGCTGAAGAGCTGAGGGACAACACCCAGGCCCAGAGTTCAGCCCCCACAACTGACCAAAAAAAAAAAAAAATTGCTGAGATATAATATCTATCAAAAATAAATATTCCCTACATTTAGTCTAGTTCTGCTGACATATTTTGCTAGAAGATAAAGGAAGACAATTTTCAGTTTATCTACAACTACCTAAGCTCCTGACTAGTTTTGTCAATGGTGGTTATTATTTGACTGAGTGTCTTTACTATTCTAAAAAGCCAAGACAAAAACTAGCTCATATACAAATTTGCTTAAGGTTAGTACTCTACCCCTTGAACCACAGCTCCACTTCTGTCATTTTGGTGTTATTACAAGGGGGAAAGTCCTATGGATTTTCCTGTCGAGGCTGGCTTCAAACTGGAATGTTCAGATTTCAGCCTCTCAGGAGATGCCAGGCGTGAGTCACCAGTGCACAGTTTGTGCATCAATCTCAATACAATTGTACATCATAAAATAGCAAACACCTACTGTTTCTTGCAACATCATTGAACCAATGTGCCAGTCTCCCATTTGAACCTTGATTGTAACCCTAACAAATGTAGGAGACTTGAGCGCATTGGGGAATTTATATGAGAGTTCATACAAGCCTTAGGGCTAGGGAAATGATAGAATAATAACTCAATCATATTGACTCTTACCTATAAAACCTCAAGGAATTTGGAAATTGCTTTAAAGGATTATATTTAGCTAACTTCATAGCACAGAAAATAAGCATTTGGCTCATCGGAAATTTCACATTTTGTCAAAGGCAAACCATAACCTATCTCCTTATCAGGACCACACAAGGACACAGTTATAAGAGAAACAAGTTTTCAGGAGTATCCACCACTGTGTCACATTTTCTCTCAGATAATAAATGATTTTCTCAAATTATGTGTCAAACAAGCAGTTATGTTGCATGTATTTCTCTAAGCCTACCAAAACATGCCCTTAACGTCTACATTTTGCTCGGGATAAACTGGTATAAGCCTAATAATGATGTTATTTAGCTTTTATACCATTCCACTGGATAACTAGAGAGATAACTGATTTTTCCCTTGAAAGATAACACTGACAGAGTGATATGTGAAAAGTGATGACTTATGATTCCCTACACTTAAAGGAATCTAAGCAACAACATGGCTTAGTAGGTGGTTCTATAATACAGAGCTTGGTGGAAAATGTTTATTTTGCTTCAAAATTTTGAAGATGTTCCCACTGTTGTCTGATGAAAGGGCAATAAACCTCCTAATACATTTCCTTTTCTAGTAGAGATTGACACAACTTTCCATTTCATGTATGTTTTTGTTGCTCTGCATATATATGCATTGAGTAACTATATTATTTATATATGGGTGACTAATTCAGGACTTTGAAAATATTACAAATGAACTTCATCTATATATTTGTCAATGTTACTCTAAAATCAGCTCTAATTCTAGGAGGTTCTTAAGTGATTTTTTTACTAATAATACATTGTTAAGGATGGTTCCTTTATTATTAAAGATATGTAAATATTGCTCTCCATTGCTGCTAGTTTTCTTTAATTAGTCCAGAATGAATTTAAGCAACTAGAGCAAATTTTGGTAGAAAACAGCTGCTTTGTGACATGGTAAAAAGTTAAGTATGAACAACATGTAGGGAGTATTGCTGACTTTAATTAAAAACAAGTGGAGAAAAAACAAGAAGGAAAAAAACATTTGTGATAAGGCCATTCTAATAGAAGTCGGGTGGTTTGCATCGTGCAATCTGCCAATCTTGCATGCTATATAGATGTAGTCATTGCTGCCAGGTTTGATTAATGACAGTTGAACAATCGTGTGCTGCTAGTTCCTACAATGGAGGTACCTTATTTCTTCGGATATGAAACATTGCTGAAAAATGCAACTCAATCAGATTTGGCCCCTGGACAACTGGTACTATCACCAATGTACCGTGAATTGAGATTGATTGGTAACCAGCTGTGACAAAGTGGGCAAAGAAGATCTGTGTTCTGTGGGTGTTTATTTTGTGCAAGAAGAAAAAAAATCCGAAAACAGAATTGAATTGTGTCAAAACCATTACCATCTGTTCAATTAAGTAATAAACAAAACAAAGTAAATTTTACTTTAATATTTAAAACAACAGTTTGCATGCAAGGTTCTGTTTGTGTGTGTTCTTAGATTTGTTGAATAATTCTAAAAGTGTCTAAAAAGAGAAATATTATTATTCATTAAATTCTGAAATAATTTCCAACTTACTTTAAATAAAATAACTTATTTTATTTCTTCCTTATACTTAATGGATGGAGTTTCACAAACTGGAATTTGAACATGCTTTCTCAGAGTCCGTAGACCTCATCAACTTGTTTGAATTATAGGAGGATACTCCAAAACTTCCAAATGGTAACTCTCATCTCAAAGGTACCTTTGTTTTGCATGGAGAGAAATGTATTTTCCAGCACT